TATGTAGATATAGTATAGTGTATTATAGTGTATTAGTTTGCATGTGATTCTTTGAGATAAAGAATCTTATTTATTTAGTTTTCAATTTTTATATGTGCTTGGCTAGTTTTGGTAAGTTTTTGGCTGATGGCTAGAGATTGGTAAGTTGAAACTTATATGGGATATTTGTGTAAGTTTCCCTTAATCTTATCGGATGCTTTGAAGGTAGAACTGTCAATAAGGGCAGGCCTAGCGCAGCCCACACAGGCCTTGACATTCGGCGGGTTGGATCTGGCTGGCGCACCATTTTGATGGGCCATAAATACCTAGCCCAGAGCGGGCTTATGTGTGTTGCGGGCCCTAACGGGCTGCCCACCGTTTTCTTAGTTTTTTAATTTAAGTTCTAATCTAAAATTTAATTATTTGCAAGTCAAAAAATATCTTGTTGGACAGAATAAAACTTAATAACTTTGGAAATTGTCTCAATAGATTGCAATAAAACACAAAAAAAGGAGGACAATGTTTCATTCATTAAAAGTCAAAATTCAAAACAAACTAATAAAATAACTTCATGGCAGCAGTGACATATCCAACACGAGCACATTATCTTCATCAAGCACATTCAACTCCGCTTTATGATTAGGTTGTCTTAAAATCTTCAGTTTCATCTAGATTTACAGTTCATATATAATGTTAATTAGTTAAACATTAAGAAATAACTAAATTTAAGATCTAATTATATTTCAATTATTTTTATTTGGCCCACAGACTGGCCCAGCATCGTGCTCGTGGCCCGCGTAAATCAATACTTAATGCAAATCTAAGATAGAGCTAAAGCACAAAATGAATTTCTTCCTATACGAAATGAAGGAAAGAATCTAAGTGAAATAGGATAGAAAATAAGTTTTGTCTAACAACCTTCGACTTTTTTTTCCAAATTTGCTTCATTATTACATTATATAAAATCTGTGTAAGGATTCCATTATCTAGTTACAGTCCAACAAACATCACATGTAATAGTAAATTGTGTCTTCTTCATTCTATCTCATACAATCAACTTAGTTCCTATTCAAAATACATTTTCATCCTTCGCCTACTTAGAAAACAAGATCATCTTCTGTATCTTTTTGAGTTTCTCATAAACTTCTTCCTTCACTTCTTTTCATATTTATCCATTGGCATAATGCTCCTGGTCCTCTTGCAGTTGGAAACTACGATTCAGCACCAAGTTTCACTTACCATATCCGTAAAAACCTTTATTAGTTGTTAGCTTTTGGAAAGAAATGGTGCCAAAAACAAATACATATCTCTTTCCTTGGGGCGAAGTAACTATCTTTTGGGAGGTAATTTTATCTACCAGGGGAATATGTATTAACTTTCTTAATTTAGAAGACCAAATAAGAATAAATAATAAGGGGTGGCAAATGGACCGGTTGGGCTGAATTTGAGCGGGTCAAGATGGGTTAGGTCAATAAATGAGTCATTGCCCAACCCAGCCCAAAGTGTACTTGGGCTAAGACGCGTTGGGTCAAGATGGGCTAAACAATGGGTCATAACCCAACCCACCTAACTTGACCCATGTTTTAGAAGGGGCATTTGCATCTATACCCGTTTTCTGTGCCACATTTTAACCTGTGCCCGCTTTGCAAAAAAAATTGCAAGCGTACCCGCTTTTTCACATAACTTCAGCACACGGGGCTGAAGTAGCAAAGGCAATTACACAAAACATCAGCATTTTAATAGTCGGGCCTGAAGTTCAGCTCGAGAGCTAAAGTTTTTGTTTTGTAACTCGCGAACTTCAGCTCTAGAGCTGAAGTTTGCCAGTTATAAAATAAAGAGCTGAAGTTTGCCAGTTATAAAATAAAAACTTCAGCTCTAGAGCTGAAGTTTTTATTTTATAAGTGCTGAAGTTTTATTTTATAAGTTTTTGTTTAGTAACCGGAAAACTTCAGCTCTAGAGCTGAAGTTTGCCAGTTATAAAATAAAAACTTCAGCTTTAGAGCTGAAGTTTTTGTTTNACCGGTATACTTTGCTGGCTCCAGTATAATATACTGGAGACTGGAGCACTGATGCTCCAAACTCCAGTATATTATACTGGACCATTATACTTGCTGGAACTCCAGTATATTATGCTGGAGTTCCAGCAAGTATAATGGTCCAGTATAATATGCTGGAAGTTCATATACAAGTGCTCGAATCTCCAGTATATTATGCTGGAACTTTCCGTGTGTTGGAGTTCCAGCATAATATGCTGGAAGTTCATACACAGGTGCACCGAACTCCAGTATATTATGCTGGACCGGTCTCTGTTGCAGCAAAATAGTGGCTATTTTTCATTGACTTCGTAAATGTTGGCTATTTTTGAATGACCAATCCAAAAACTGGCTATACTGTGCTATTTTTACGTTAGTTTTGGGAGGTCTTTCTCTTTACTAAGAGAATATGTATTAATTTCTATTGACTTAGAAAATATATAAGAATAAATAATCAATTATTGGAGGTTCAAAGTAAATGAGTGAAATTTTGTTACCTTAGCCAAACAAGTTGCAATGGAGAAACTTCTTTACAATGTAAGTGGATGTAAGAAAGGCATCATGTTCTATTTCACTACCTTCCTCATACATTCATCTAACTACCAACCATCAGTGATCATATAAGATGGAGTTTTCATTCATTTACTTCAAGCCTCCAATAATTAATTATTTTAGGGATGGCAATTTGAACCCAAACTCATTGCCCAAACTCATTTAACCCGCTCCGAGATTAATGAGTTGGATTACAAACATTTTAGCTCATGGGTCAATTTGGGCAGAGCACAAATTAACCCATAATATTTTATAGTCCATTCTGACCCATTAAGCAGCCCAAATACAACCCATGAAACTCACCCAAAACAAAAAGGTATCTCAACCCAACTTATATAGAAATTTATTTAGTTGCTCCAGTTTTACTTTTTTTTGTATTTTTAATTTTATGTTCTTTTGTTTTTCTGCAAAC